AGTGTCCTAAAGCAAAACTTACCAATAAAAAGGTAATGGTAACTGTTTGGTGGTCTCAGCATGGTGTTATTCACTATAGTTTTCTCCGATCTGGTCAAGCAATAACGGCAGATGTCTATTGTGCCGAACTCCGAACCATGTTGACAAAACTAGCAGTAAAACAGCCCCGACTCATGAATCGATCTTCACCATTATTGCTCCACGACAACGCGAGACCTCACACAGCACGAGAAACCATTTTGACCCTTCAGGAACTGCAGTTAGAAACCATTCGTCATCCTCCGTATTCACCAGACCTTGCTCCAACGGACTACCATTTTTTTCGTGATTTGGACAATTATCTACGTGACAAGAAGTTTTCTTCCCAGGAGGCAGTACAAAATGCTTTCACACAGTTTGTGCAGTCTAGATCGTCGGAGTTCTATCGCAAAGGCATTAATAACCTTCCCATTAGATGGCAGCAATGTATAGATAGTAATGGCAACTATTTTGATTAAATAAATTTGTTAAAAATTTAAAAAATAAACAATTTAGATTTTCAGTACAAATCGGCAATTTCATACTTTAACCCCTATTACTATATTCAAAAATTATATTGTTCCTACTAAAATTATATTATATCATACTAAATTACAAACTGATATTATATTCCATAACATATTACAAATAAAGCTATTTTATTGAATTCACACGGAGAACAATAGGTCAATTTTCCCATCAATAACATTCAAAGTCCTCATCCCTCGGGTCAGTGTGCCCTATCCAGCAGGTTGGTTTTCCCACGAGGAATCGCCAACAACTGAGGCCGGCACCGGCGCCCCACATACCCATCAGGAACGCAAAGACCCACACGACCCAAAACCTCTGCATTGCTTGTGTTAACAAACCAATGCTAATTCCCTCCGTATTCCCACTTCGTTGTACCCCACCATACCCATAATAAATAGGTTAGGATACATCAAAGGATACAAAGAAAATATCCCGTATAGCCTTAAATATAAATTCTTGTTAATTTTGTTTTATATGCGTTCCAATATTACATTATAATTACATATAACTGCCTTCATGGCCGAACGATTATCATGCAGGACTGTCACGCAGAGTTCCCAGGTTCGATTCCCGGGCTGGGAGAAATATTTGTATGGCCTACATTTATTTCTCTCGTGACTTTGGGTGTAATTTTGGTTGTCTATGTGTGTGTCCATGGCACCCGCGCCACAGCGTTTCCCTAGTGTGTTGAGTGTGTGCGTTAATATTATTGTTATTATTATAATATAATATAATATAATATAATACTATACAATACAATACAATGCAATGCAATGCACAATACAATGCAATGCAAAGCAAAGCAATGCAAAGGCCGACGAATCGTTCACCGGTCCATGTTCTCACTTCTTTATTTTAACCAATAAAAAGCTGGGTGTCTTTTTATGATGACTTTTGGCACATTCAGAATGCAGCTGTACTGTAAGAGTAATATGAACTATTTTGGTTTGAGCAACTATTCTTGAAAAGCAGCGAAATTGCAAAATTAACCAAAAAATTCATCGGTCATAAAAAAATGAATCAAACCTGATTTTCAGTAATAGGCAAAAAGTCTCTATACGTTTTATTAGGACAATATTAAAATTATAGGTATTCAACATTTAAATTGTAATGTACATGTTTTATATTATAAATAAATGCACATAATCTAATGAAATGACATGTATAAAGATAAGGTTTTTTTAGCACTTTATAAATGAAATATCAATTACTTTGGTATTGATACTATAAGATTTTGCACACAACTTTTGTTGTATATTTTTGTAGGGTTCAAAAAACTTTAATGGAAGTTGACCCCCTACTTAGATATCAATTATTTTATCAGTAAAACTGACGTATACATATGTTCATTGCTTAGAATTTGGGGTTGTGAATGAAAAAAGAGAGTATTAGGGTGAGTAGAATATTTATTTTCCTAAATATAAAGTCTACTCACCTGAGTTCTTGTTACGTTTTTGAGGAAATAAAGCCACGTGACCTATAAAGTTCGATCCCGTAACATGTGATAACTAACTAGACTTACATATTTAACCATGCACTACAAAAACTGGCAGCTAACAGAATACGATCACTGAAAAATTTGAAATAGCTTGAAAAGTAATAGAACTGTTCTGTACAGGTACTTATTAATGCACCAATTTTATTTTTGGCAAAAACTAAACCAAGTTATAAAAACATCTAAAGAGTTCCCAGTTTTGTCAGCCGCCTGATTCGGTAACATGTGATTTTAGATACATTTACAGGGCTTTTTAAGTAACGTTATTAACAAGTGATTAACGATATTCTTGTGTGTGACTAATTTATGGTGAACGTATTAAATGCACTATGCAGTTTTAGTGACTCGTGTTGATGGAAATTGAAACTAGCCCTCGTTATCAGTCGCGCAAGAGCCCAATCACACTTTCATTGCAACCCTGCGAAGGAGGTCGGCGCGCGGCGGCGTGCGGTCGGTGCGGCGTCGGCATTGCTATCAGGCTGGCACGCAGTCAGTCTCACGGTGTGGCGGCGCGCGCGCGTGCCGTGCGTGATGAAAGGCCGCGCTCGCTCGGCTTCGGCCCGCTGACGACGCCGCGAAGACGCCCGGCACCTGCCGGGAATGGAGGCCTGCTGCGCGATCACTGTTGCCGAGGACCTTGTGGGCGACCAGGTACCACAACCCCTCACCAATATGCGATGTCACATAAACACCAGCGCTCCCATTACAAATTTTCGTCTATTTTTAACATGATATCGTTTCATTAATGTGAAACAGTTTTTCGTCACAGAACGAACGCCTTTTATCAAGACGCGATTTGTCAGTTGAAAGTTATGATAAATTAGTAATGATTTATCGCCCTATCCTTCGGCCTATATACACCTAAACAATGTAGTTACTTCAACTTTCCAGGCATTAAACTAAACATTATATTTGTTTTTGATACCTACGACGATTTTTATTTATAACAATTTTAAGGCAAGAGTTCTTCACTTATGTAGAAAAGTACGGTTTTGTTTAGTTATACACTCCAAGCCAAATTATTTAAGATAAAAATTAATGTCAAGCCTTTGCGGAACCGGATGATTCTCTGAATTGGTGCAAAAAAAAAATATGGCCGCAAGAAAAGTGTTTCAATCCAAGCGAACGGCAGAGGTCTTAATGCGGCTCCACACTTCATACTACACATATGGACTGCAATATTTACTATAATTGAGGAAACTCACTTTTAGCAATAATAGTGATTATTATTATTTTGTTAGCAAGTCATGATCATATGTTTTTTTTTTATAATACTTGTTTAGTTGTTATTTGAAGCTATGATGCAAAACATAAACGTAAAATATAATAAGACGATTAAAGTTTTGTGTATAAATTAAATATCCCTGACAACACGCAAAACTACGCATGAAGTTTTCCGACGGGCCGACGTTGATGTCTTTTCTATGGAGCAACCTGCTTTGTTCTCGTGTTATGTTTTCAACGTTACTTGACGAAGAACTGCAATTGTTCCTATTTTTTATATGAAATTTAAAAATAAAGAATTTATCTAATTTTAATGAACGCAACTTTTTATCTATTTCTTTCACAGCTTTCTACAAAAACAACTATATATTTGTACAAAGGCAATTACAAATCTTATATGAAGTAACTACACAAATATTTGTCATATTCTGTTTAAAAGTGTATTAATAGTTGTCCAATTAACGGATTTTGGCATCTACCGCTGTGTTGGTACTGTGTGTGGCCATAAAACAAGCAACATGCTTGTGGTCGCGGTGGTTCATGGTTTATAACCGGCATTTTCATTAAGAATACTCACAGACTCACAATTACGTTTGAAGTTCAAATTAAATTTGTCCACTTGATATTTGGTTGCCTATCAGTAGCCTGAAATGACATTTTCCAGAAATAACGCTTGCTCGCATTTTCATGACCTCGAAAGTAATTTTAAGAGGTAAATGTTTTTCTTTTAAAACTAACTTAACCTAACCTAACCGAACCTAATCGTGTCTTTACGATCGAAGATATCCTGAAAGAATAACGGTTTCGTTATAATTCGGTTTTCGGTGTAATGAAAATTCGAACACTCGTTATTTCGGAAAAAAAGTTTTGAGTTTATGATAGGTTACCTTGATATTTAAATTATTAATAAAATGAAAAACAAGGGAATTTTATAAATTTTAAAAGTACCAAAAGGGATGGAATAAAAATAAAAACAGTAGCACATTAATATGTTATTTTTTTTAGGATCTGTCTGTATTCATTGTTAATATAATGTTTGGTAAACTATAAGTACAATTTTTGAGGTCCTATCGTAATCCACACATTTTCGGGTCCTCAATTATTGATGTAGAGAACAGTTATGATTGGTGGATTGCCATAGGCCAGCATCCAAGCGGCATTAGCATAATACAAGTTTTGTTTAATGTCGCTACGAACTTTCGTACTCATCATAGTGGACACTTAAATAATATTTTTATAAACGAACTTCGTATTGTTTCTGTTAATTTGTTTAACATGTGAAACTATCCATTCTCAAACTTTTGCAGACTCTAGGTACATTTTACATTATATATAATAACTTGACAAAAGTGGCACGTTTAGCTTAGTTTTACCTAACCATTAATAATTTGCAATATAATGATAACTTCGCACAGAAAGAACTTTGAACTATTAAAATGTATTCATACATTTCGATGACCATTATTGCAAATGATGAAAGAAAATACCTGATTTTTTGTACAAAATATGTTGTTTCTATAATTCGTCATGTTGCATACAAAGTATCTCAAAATATTTGCCCTTTATTACGAAAATGATTTGAAGTCTTATAGCCGCACGCTCAAGTCACAACAATATCTAAATACCAAGATTAATATATTTTTCTCTCAAAATATATTTATTGAATGAAAAAATGAACTAACCATATAACATTATATTGCCATTAGCTTGCATAAGAAATGAATACTCCAACTTATTTAGTAGCAGACATCGAACTAAAACCATTTTACATTGCAACATTTACTGCCTAACTTCTATATCGACTTCAAATAGCCTCCCTTTGCCACTGATACATACACCTTTGCTTATTATAAATTGAGACTCCAATTGTAATGATATGTAAGGTGATTCTGATTATTGCAGATTGTCCCGGGCGGCGGCCGCTGGGGCGCTCCGCACGCCGCCGGCCTCGTCGACTCCTGGCTTCAGATGCAGGTCAGTTGACTTTGGTTTCCTATTTTCTAACGACAGTCAATACGGATGCTTAAGACAGGTCCCGGATTGATCCAGATGAGATTGATGGAGGAAATAACCCTAGTAATGGTTATACATCGCTGCAGTTACAGCTCTACTGACGTTTCAATATTGTTTATATTCCAATTAAGTCAATTGTTGAAAATATACGTGCTACAGGTATAACTGTCAACAAATTAAAACAATAAAAAGAGTATTAGTACCAATTAAATGCGACGGCGTAAATTGTTGGGCAAGTGGGATTTTTCTTTTGTAATAATTATATGTGATTTTTGTTATAAATGTTAGCTTAATAGAATGTCCGCCTAATATATTCAATTTTAGATAAGTGTGTGTATTGGTAGTCATGTTTTATGGTTTATTTTAAATTGATGAAGAACCCAAAATGTCGATTATACGTGTTTTCGTCAACTTTTTTTTGTATAATACCAAGTGACAGGACGAACACTTGTTCGTGTGCCATATGGTAAGCGACACGCCTATCCATACCAGTTTCAGTACCACTCAGAATTTTAAATCGCAAAGATTTTAGGAACACTACCACAGCACCCGTCACCTTGAGACATAAGTTGAGAAGTCCTAGTTTTTTTTTTTTTTTTTTTTTTATGACATTAAGTAACGGGACGAACAAGTCGTGTGTCTGATGGTAAGCTACACGCCTGCCCATAACAGTATTTCACCCTTCAAATCCGGAACGCAGTAATGCTCATTTTACTACTTACCTTAGTACCTTAGTACTTCCCTGGACGAACTCTTTCATAAGGAGCTCTACTGCTACTACATTACTACATACTGAAATAAGAATTTAGGGGTACAGTATAGTATAGTAGTTACTATAGTGTTATCGCCTCTGCTAATAGGTATGTATATTTTGCATTGCTGCTAAAAATCACCGTGTGTGTAATGTAATATTAACAACACATTCTGAAAAAGGAACTCGAAATACTTTAAATTAAAAAAGATTTTAGTTGTGTTCTGTACTAAATCTTATTGAACGGAATTTGATAGTGTTAGGTTAGATAAAATGGGATAATCGTGCTTATTACAAAACAAAATTAGAAGTGTATCTGTTAAACCAATCTTATATTATAAATTAATATTATACTATTGAAAATATCTCACGCACCTGTGCAAAGTTATTAAAGAAAAAACATTATTCAATACACATTCGGTGTTCACGGCACACGCGCCCCGACTGAAATTCTTCTTTACGTTCCATAGGATACTTGAATAAAGCGATTATTTTAATGATAAAATCGATGTTGTAAGGCGTGAACTAGACACACACAAGTTTATTCCACGTGCGAATTATAATCGCTGCGCAAGTTGCAATTATGTTTCATAAGTTAATAAAATAGTTACTTTTAAAATTTTTTGATAGTGACGACAATTTTTTTCAAAAGCAGTACCAGGAAAGATTGTGTTTAAGGTGAACGACTACTTTAGATATTAAAGACTTTTAAAAGATGACTATATTGAAGATGAATGCGTATTAAAGGAGATTCATATTGAATATTGAAGAAGCTAAGTACGTTCTGCTCTTAGAGGATGGAAAAAAATAAAAGAAAGTCTAAGGTTCTGCTGAAATTACAGGCACATGGGACTTGTCAACTTATGTCTCAGTAACGGGCGCAGTGGCAGTTCTGCTATCGTCATGAGTGTTGCTAACCATCAGGCGCACGACTTGTTCGACCCGTCATCAAAATAAATTTAAAATAATTATGAATTTTATTCTGCTAAAAAACTACAAACAGCAACACATAATATATGTATTATTTATTACAACAACTACTTAACACTAATAAAACAACAAGCCTGTAATATTATGTTACAGACTACGGTGATAAATATTCCTTATTCATTATAACAATATTTATTCTACCGATATCAAGGTGCCTATGAAGTTAGCGCCAAAGGAATACGACATTTGTAAATATACATTTATCAGCATGTTATCTTTCCATCCACACAAATTATACTAATATATTTTTTGTATAGGGGATGAAAAGCTTTCTCGTACATCAAAAGATGTTTGTTATTAGGAAGACACTCCGTATTGCGTTCTTGCACTAAGACTTTTTCTTAGCTTTCCTACAGTAATCGTGCTGGTATTGTAGTAGTCGTAGTCTTATTACGAAAGGCAAAACAGTTTTATAATATTTGATTTACAATAAAAATTTAAGAAAGGAGAAACCAATTACTTGTAAGAAATAGTGTAGAAATTGTGAAAATTGACAGACGTTCTCAACATTAACGACGATGGCTTGACGCGGACGCAGGGCGTACCCACATTGTGATAGAGCACGTAGCGTAGCGATGGGAACACAGTATTGCCCAACTTGTGTAAAGCAAAAACAGTAACTATTAGTAAATGGATGAATATAATGAAAACTATTTTGGTAAATCATATTAGGTAGCAATAGTCAATTATCATCAGTAAAACCCTAGGTAAAATAGACTATTGAAATGTAAACAAATATAAAAAATATCGAGTATATTTTATAAACAAATGTTTATTAAATTCAAATTTTATTGTTAGCCAAATGATGGACGATTACCCCTAAAGCAGACGACTCCCGAAGAACAAATGGGAGTATTAATCAGATGAAATGATAAGAAGTGCGTTTAACAAATAAACCAATATGACCGTGTGTGACCTCATCGGGTGAGGGATGCTATGCATGCACGCATCAATGGCGACCCTTACCCTATTTAATTTTAAAACATTTTCACTAATACCTACACAGTGATTACGTTTTAATATTCCCCTCGCAAGAACTTTGAGGATTATTTCATTATACCTATAACGTTCTGTGTAACCACTCGGAAGAACGTAAAATTAGGCTGTTTAAGAATTTTAGTCATTTCTGTTGACATACATTGTGAAAATTAAACTTAAGAAGACATAAGGCGACATTGCTTATAGATAATGAAATTATTTTATGCTTTATTTAATTATTTTTATAAAATATCACACCACAAAAATCGCTAAGAAATGCTGTTACTGTAGCTAAATCGTAAGGAAAGCATAAGTGAGTGTAATGCAAGTGGTGCAGTTAATTTTATAACAAAGAGCCGATGATGAAAGAGATGGAAAGTCATCAGTTGGATAACTACGTCCGCGTTATCATTCTGGGACGTTAGTGCGGCGAAATCATCGCTCTAATGCTTTTTGCGCATCACCTGTGAAGTGGAAGTGGTTTTATACTGTATTCTGTCATGTCATGTAACCGCTCTATAAATTCTAGTAGTTCATAATATTTCTCTTATCAGGTTATACACCGTTTAACTTATACCAAGTTTCATTAATTCGCTCGTCTTCTAATTTGACAAAATTCCAATCGAATTGACGAAAATCAATTAACAAATTAACTCATTTCATTACACATTCAAAAACATTCCATAATTTTGGAAACATACAAAAAAGTTTAGCTGTAAGTCCGCTGTGCCGGTAAACGTGAACGAAGTGACTGAAGCTCTCCAAATAGTTAATTTTGTTCAAGATTAATTTTAAAGTGAATCCGCCGCCTCTTGTCGCTAAAACAGAGATGAGGGCATTGTGACCGGTGACCTGTTAGAATTAGAATAAAAAATGTTAAGTGTTTAGTTAAAAGTACAACGAGGAACAAATCTCCCGTGTACGATGGATTTATCTTCAAAATGCTAACCCACATCTAAGTAGGGTGCTGGCTCCATTGAACTAATGCCAACTGTCTGACAAAAGAAATTATAGCCAATATCTCCGACCATATAATTTTGACAACAGTGCTTTATGATTTGCTTCAACATCAACTTAGCCCGCTACTCCACTTACACAATGGGGTTATCGAAGGAAAGTGATATTTTATCGTTGAATGATAGTCCGTCGATAAGTACATCAAGAAAAGTGAAAAAACCGGTATAATGTGGAAATAAGGAAGTTTATGGTTTTCCGTGTCGCTAATAAAAAAAGAATCATATATACGACTTTTGAATTGAAAAGAGAGGCGCAATCCAAATATCTCAGTCACAATCTTGATGAAAATCTGCCAGATAATAGTGATATAAAGTGAGAGAGAAGTTTAAGTAGCAGTAGAGCTCCTTGTGAAAGAGTTCGTCCAGGGAAGTACTGCCACCTTACCTATTTCTACCGCCAAACAGTAATGTCAGCATTATTGTGTTCCGGTTTTGACGGGCAAGGGTGCTGGTGAAATTACAGGTACATGGGACTTGTCAACTTATATCTCAGGGTGACGGGTGAAGTGGCGTGCGACTTGCGTGTGGCTTTTGGTGTCGCGAGTGGTTTGCGACTTATAGCTCTGAGTGGCACTGCAACTCTTACGGACATGCGTGTAGCTTACCATCGCATCGGCTTACGACTTGTTCGTCCCGTCATATGATATTATAAAAACAAACAAAAAAATAGAGAAATCTCTTTGAATTCCTTTGCCAATCTTTTTATACCTGTTAACTATGGATCAAGTTTTCTCTATGAGAATGCCTTTAGGATGCTGATGGGGCTTTAGGGTGATGATTATTATGACCTCAGCACATAACGAACAACTTCCACACTTCGATTCATTCGAGACAGCACCAACAGCATCCATGGAGGTCATTGGGGATAAGCCTGATTGTCCTTCTTGTAGGCAATGGATCGGGAATAATATAAATGGCTCTCGAAAATATTTGAATTAGGGTAAGATATTAGGATAATTTAAAGATACTAACATAATTTTAAAGTATTGCTAACGAACTGTATGGATTAAAAATCAATCTGGAATAAAAAAAAACTATTATTAAACAAATTATTCATAGTTTAAAAAAGGCATAAGCCGACAGTTTACTAGGCAATTCGTAAAAAGTTGTACCCTACAATGTATATATCATACATAAAAAGCATTCTGAAATTACACATGGAACTTTTAAACAATCACTCCATTTACACGAAATAACTATGTAACAGTTTTGTATTTTTCATCCTA